TCAAGTTCCCTGAGCTGTACGTTGCAAAAGATCACTCACCGCTCATCGATCAGTTCCCGAGTCGCATCAATTCGGTCATCGACGACACAGTCCAACGCTGTACGTCCACAAATTTGGTGGAACGCAAGTTCGACAGTCACTTTGGTTTCTTCGCAGTACAGGAATAACATAAACTCGTCCCTGGGCTGCAACACCCTGAACTCAGTTCTTTCCCAGCTTTTCGTACGCCGACTTGATGCTTTCCGGAACACGTTCGTGTTCACGGTTTCAACACAATCCCGCCTTCGGCTGCTGCCATCTTTGTCTCTGTCCTGCACCTTCTTCTCTTGCGCGCCGAGTGGCGTGACATCATGGGACGCACCAATCAGTGAAGCGCGTCTCAACAGGCGTCAATCATGAGACCAAAACTTTTCCATGACGTCACAAATACGGGTTCACATAATAAATAACGCACGGGCGCGTAGTAACAAGAAATATAAAGAAAACTACATAGATTTAAAGAAACAGTAAAATTACCCTGGTTTCATTAAGTACAATAATTCAAACTCGATAACAAGATTCTGTGAGCCCTTGTCACACCAGATGTAAAAGGAACATTAAAATAATCAAACTAATGTGTTCCATGAACACTGGTCACATAAACATGCAACATTCCATGCTAAAATTGTATTACAATCAGTCGAGAAGTGAAGTACCAATTATTATTTATTTTTTTTATTTTTATTTTATTTCATTAAGCTAAAAGACAACAGTGATACACAGTCTTCTGAAGGGTATACTAGTAATATATTTGCCCTTATACATAAAAAATGATTAATTTATTTTGTACAAGAAATGTTTGTTAAGGTAGAAATGCAGTTTACCTGACAGGTATTTTAATTAGTTAATTAGGAAACCAAGATAACCTCCCTTGTCCACAAAACTATATATTTTCGGAAAGCTTATTGTATGAATTTGAAGCTTTTGTTAGTATTTTATTTTTATGGACACTGTAGTTTGAAATGTGCACAAAAATGTGCTTTTTTGGTCAAAAGTGATTTAAAAAAAATTTGCTTCTAAACCGTGCTTCTGTTTCCTGTCAAAATTGGTTTATGGGTACATCTGTTTACTATAAAGAAAGTGCCATCTTGAAAACTGTCTACCAGTTGTCAATTTTGTAGGGCAGCAACTCAAATTTCACTATTTCAAGTTTATGCATACATTAACATCCAGGCTAGTTGTCTGTACGATTGCTGTAACACTATTCAACTAAAAACAACGCCCGATGGCGTTTTGACGATAAACGCATTGTCAATCATTTGTGAAAATTTCAAAACAAAAGGTCAAAGCATCTAGGAGCTATTTTTTTAAAGTTCTGGAATGTGCACTAAAAAGAAGCTGAGATAATTGCTAATTTGCATAACAATTCACTCAGTAAGAAGTTTGCTAATGTTGCTAAGATTCAAATTCAAATGAGATAATGTTTGCACCTGTTATCTATATTTTAAAATCGTTTTTTGAGTATGTTCCACTATTCACAATTCTACAAAATTTTAACAATCTATAGCCAAGACTTTCTGGATAATAAAAAGCAAAAAAAAAATTCACTCCCAAGTGCCCACGAACCTGCATCTCTACCTTAAGGACCACACCTGAGAATAGTACTCAAGGTTCCTCCTCACTAACGTTGTGTGCATTTTTCAACAAGATGGACACTATCAACAGATTTACTCGTTCGCTTTAGAAAACCTAACATTTTAAAAGTGTTGCTTACAAAATTGTTTATATGATCTCTAAACTGAAGTTTACTCGTTAATCAAACACCTCAATCGCATATAATCGTGACTCTAATATCAACCTTACAAATCGTATATATGTGTTGAATAATGCTTAATGCTAAAATATATGACATTACATTTACTGAAGTTAATTTTAAGTTGCCATCTGAAGCTCAATACAATCGAATGGACTTTTAATACAAGTATACAGCCTCGAGTCATCAGCAAAGATGGAGACATTAGAATGCCTAACGCACCTTGGAAGGTCATTGACATATATTATGAACAATAATGGCCTCAACAATGACCCATGCGGGACTCCAGAAGTAACTTCGAATTCGCACCAGTCGGAGACATGACTATTCAAAATATTCCCTGGTGCCTTTCATGCAAATGTGATTGAAGCCACAGTGATAAATTACCAAAAATCCAAATTTGCATATAATTACCCGTATGACAATGTTATGTATCACTGAACATACGTATTCCACTGTCTTCGTTATTTTTAATTAACGGAAGCAAAATCACAAGACTATTAATGAATAACAGAACGCAATATATATTTTCTAGTATTATCTGCAGATAACTTTATCATGATTTTTAACAATGTAAATAATTATGACGATCACCGTGTGTTACATTTTTAGTATGATTTGCTATTGAACTATGAATAAATATTTAACCCTATTTTGTCAATATTGCTTTTAATCTTATTTATGTAATTTTAATAATTAGCACTTTTTATAATGCTAATTCATAACTAAACTATACCAATTTTCCCAGGTGTACATAAATATATTTTACTGAAACACGATCAAGCATCATAACATGAGTATCCGCCGTCATATGTGTGGTTCTCATTGCCTCGCAAAGCAGGGTAGAACACACACAGTGCGATGCAGTCTTCATGAACGCTAACCATGTGTTTATCGTGCGCATTCATGTTGTAGACGGTACCATCATCTGGAGTGATACGAGCTTCTATTTTATTTGCCCCCTCGTTCCAAGAATACGAGACTTTCCCACTGATATAGTAGGCAGACTCAGCATGGTTACGATACTCCAGTTTAGTTGGATCGTCTCCAGTAAACATCACGGCAGTGCTTGTTATTGTGATGGCAAATCCGTCAACTTTCAGCAAAAAACGTCGACTGTGACCTCGTTTGAAATCCACGTCTCTCTCTGTTCCCACTATCTCGTCAAGTGATTTTACTACAGAGCGTTCGCTAGATGGGTTAATATCATCACAATACAAGACATACAGCCGGATTCGTGTCTCAACAATCAGTTCGGCTGAAACGCTAGAAGAGAAGGCAACAACACAATCTGGTTTCAGCTTATAATGACGTCCGTTGGAGGCCTTTACATCGCCAGTACCAGAGATGCAGTAGTATATGTGGTCTAAATCGCCGCTGTCAGATGATCTCAGTTTTAAGGTCTCTCCTTCTTCAGCAACAACTTGATATGCGCTGAATCCCATACCGTCTTCTACATCGGTCAGTCCCTTTCATCTCGATGTTCGGGAGGGTTGCTACAGCAACGTCTTCTGAGTGACGCACAATCATGTTCACGTTTTCGCTTAAATGTAATTATCCACTGCATATTAATAAGTAGAAAAAATAATTATAAGTTAGTATGAGTTGTCATAAATCAATATTTATATGACTAATGAAAATATTAGCTATATGAAACAATGCTAGTTGCCAATATGCAAGGAAACCAGTGATGTGCACACAATGTTTGCAGTCATGCGCACGATTATGATATTTCACGCACAAACATTCGGAAAATGACCACTGCATGAATAGTAATCACCATCTAGGATAAGTCCAGCTATAACAGTTTTGAAATACATTATTTTGACAATCTTTGTATAGTAATACTGAGTAGCGTCACATTGACGAACTTTTTAATTTCGCGGTTCTAATGTGACATCCTGACCAGAAACTAATTTCACGTTAGATATAATAATAACTAGTAGTAGATATAGCAATAACTAGTAGGATTGTTGAACCATTGTCGACAGGAAATGCTACAGAAATTTGCAATTATGAGATTTCTGTTCATTTTCCAATCCACAAACAAACAGTAATAGAAAATGTATACAGAATTAGTATATGAATGAATGAATGACTGGCTGAAATTCGAGTTTATTGCACGTTTTGGTTGTTCAGTTTTGGAGAGATTCAAAATATGTGTGGTATTAGTATGATCGAATCTGAACTTGAACGAGTATTTGAATTATTCGAAATGTGAAAGTGTTAATAGCTATAATTATGATGATGCGTTTACGCACTTGTCCTTAGCTATACAGTATCAACACAAATCAATTGATAAGATAGAAAAAAAAATACCAAACAATGGATTCAATCTTACACAAAAGATTCATGACTGAAACACTAAATGCTTCACTGCCTCCTAGGCAAACCACTGTAAAAAATGTTAAAGTTTCCAATAATAATTGCACGAGCAAAGCACAAAACGCTACTAGTACAAATTTTGCATATTTCGTATCATGATTTCATGAAAATACTGAGAGTCGGCAATACACGTGCAGTTTAGCTTTACAGTGGATTTGCCGTGGTTTTTAGTTCGAATATTTATATTGCGTGTTTATATACTCGTATATATATAAAATAATATCTTTCATCTTTCTCTTGTAATTCTTAGTATAAGTGGTGTGGTGTATTCATCAATTGTTTTGTTTTTCTTGGAAATTTCCCTATGTGAGTTTTACCTAATGATCTGCGGTTTGGTTTTTTATGACGTATAACAGCACACGACGTGGTGCACCACTTATTTGTTCAATGGTGCATTCGATGATGTGCCGTATTTCTGTATTCAGTGTTTACTCACAGTAATAGCGGGATGTAGCATATCATTTAATACGAAATAAAGGCTGATCCAGGTACTATTTTTGGTCACGCTATATTTAGTTTTTACGAAGATTAATAAGCCTACATATGTGCAATAAATTATATGTCAAATTCTTCATAAAAGTAATGTATATACCAATACCAATTATTTTTATTTCATGCAAAATGTTTACACATTTATTTCATAAACAAACCAAGAACATTTCATTATATATATATATATATGATTAAAGTATAAATCATGTATATAATATATCCAATGAAAAATATATCTAATATTTGCAAATAATGTAATATACAAAATATTGAGCATGACAAAAATTATTTTATTAATAAATACCTGACTTGTATCATACAAAAACAATGCGCGTTGTCGTTTTTGAAAGTGTTATAAATTGAATAATTTTTCCTGTAATACTGGATTTGTTACACGATATGATTCAGACACAATAGTCCGTTAGTACCTTCCATGGTTGAACTGAAAAATAAAACCCACTTATAAAACGTTTGTTGAAAAACTCATTTACATTAAAATAATTACCTATAGCGCGTGTTGCGTCGTTTGTGAATTTATTCATGTTTAATATATCATGGTACGGCACGTGACTATCAAATAAGATTAAAATGACTATTTTTAGACCCTTTGCGCGAGGGTCAGACTTATTTAGAAATCATGCAAGTCGGTAAATATAATGCCTATAACGATGGGAACATTTCAGTGGTTAAATATTTTACAAATTATAGAAATAACTTTGGAACAACACAAACGAATATAGTTGCCAATAACGACGTTTAAGAGTATTATATCATACAATGTAACATGAATTTTATATGCATATTTAATAAGTGGTAGTATTTATTTGAAAACAACAGGGTAAATATCCGAATATGTACTGAATATGAAGTTCTGATTTGTCGTCTCGTGGATAATTTATTGTGCGTGTATAATGATGTCAAACGCTATTTTAATAGCAATTATTCAAGAATTGTTAGTAAGGTAACTCACCGCTAGTTGCCGCCCAGTCTTTAGTTGATTCTCGTCTACGGTGAGACTGCGACCCTTGATGGACTTTGTAATGGCGTGTTGGTCACGTGCTACCAATTAGCCTATCAGCCTTCAAATCTTATGGTTCAAATCTGAAACGCGGTGTATGAGGGCGTACTTTAATTTCGTCAGCTGTTAGACTGGTGTGTGAAGCTTTGCGTCTTCACTATACTCTTATACCATTGAATAAATTCCATTACACTTCATTCATTCAATAATGATGGATGAGCCAGAGATGCGACAGCTTTATTTACAGACGTGGTTAGAAAAAGAAATTATTACATGACACGTTATACCAGAGTGGGCAACATGTTACTTGTTGTGATCTCCCTGTTATCTTATGTCCGCCAACAAGTAAAAACCCTATATTTTATATTCCGGGAAACTCTCTGGAAACCTGTGTCCGAAAGCAATGCAGCACATAGTACAGGGACAGTGTCGGACTGCAATGATATCACATAAGGGCAACCCTAAATGAACTTTTAAAATTAATATTTGATGTAATTGAACTTGAACGTCTGTGAGCTGTTGAGTTGCTGACTAGACTGACTAACTTCTGATTGTCCCGCCCATCTCATCAATTACTGTCACCGTAACATTCAAGACAGTATTTTCCCTCTATACTATCGAAGCGAGGGAAAAGATATTTATTGACAAGTACGTGTGGAGCTGGACAACTCTCGATTACAAACTTCCAAACTGGCTGCATTTCTGAGAAAAGCTGGCCAACATGTGTTTTCCTGGCCAGAATTCTTTAACAAAATATTCTGTAACATGTGGTTTCAATAAATTAAAACAATATTTTGTTCTCTGTAACCTTTTTTGGGGAGAAATTCACTCAGTTCTGATTAGTGGTATGAGACCTGGCATGTTCGCCGTCTGCGAAGAGCGCCACATGTGACGTCATCTTGCCAACTCATTTGTTTCCCCATAGTCGACGCATTTCTTTCTGCGTAGTAAGGGCTAAAATAAAATGTTTTCGCGGATCCGTCGGGAAATATTTCTTGACATGTGTGAATTTTATAATCGTTTGAGGGCGTGCGACATGATACAGTAAAGTGTGGTGAAATCTGCCAAGGGTTAATGTTGAGTCTTTGGCCGAATGGTCCTTGACTAGCAAAGATGACTACGGGCGAACCAACACACATTGCAAGATAATGTATTTGATTCGAAATCGTGGATGCACTTCGGAAAATTGACAAAACTTTTGTCACACAGACAGTTCAGATGTTTTTTCCTTCTTCATTAATGAACTAGCTATTGAACTACAACAGTCCCTTCACCATGGTATTCAACTTTCCCCTGACCTCATTGAACTCTTTTGTTTATTATTTGCTGACGATATTGTAGGTCAATGACAGTGTCCGAAAACACCGCAAAGATTAATTCGTAAGCTTGAGGGGTATTGTGATAAATGGAAAATGAAAGTGAACTTGGACAATACAAAAGTAATCGTTTTCAAAGCGGGGGGTCGCCTAGCCAAATCTGAAAAGTTGCATTTTAAAAACACAAAGCTAGGGGGTAGTCTCACATTACTAATATATGAGAATGTTGTTATCATGTCGGTTACAGTGGACACCTGCAACGAAGTCTTTAGCACAACAAGCCAAAAAAGCATTTATGGCTATTATGAAAAATACTAGAAAAATGGGCACTTTAAATTATGATTCATTCTTTAAAATTGTTGATTCCATGATTTTACCTATTTTAACCTATGGTTCGGAGGTCTGGGGGTTTAAAAAAATGAGTGTCTGGAACGTATTCAATACCTTGCTTGCAGATATTTCCTTGGTGTTTCCACACGATCACCTGACAATTGTATACACCGCAAAACGATGCATCAAATATTGGGCTAAAATCATCAATATGCCAAGTAACAGATACCCACATAAATGCTACAACATGTTGTATAACATAGACAAATCGGGGGTGAGGGCGAAACCTACCTGGGTGGCAGACATAAGAAAACTATTGTTTTTGTGTAAATTAGAACATGTTTGGTATTCGCAGAATGTTGGCAATATTCAGGAATTTGTAAGCGTATTTTCATGTCGTTTTAAGAAATGCCTACATTTTGAGTGGCTTACTAATATTTGTTCCTTAGACAAACTGGTTACATATCGGGAATTTAATGTTACATTGCAGCCGGAAAAATACTTAAAATCTGTTGGAATTTATTCCCATAGAGTAGCTCTTGCACGGTTTCGATGTTCTTCTCACCGCCTTCGCATTGAAAGAGATCGTGGTGTAATTGAGAGAGACGAACGCATTTGCCCTCTTTTGTGACATAGATGAAATTGAAAATGAGTTTCACTTTCTCCGTGTTTGCCCATATTACCATGAAATGTGAAATTCATACTTACCCAATACATTTTATAATACCCCATCTTTTGATAAATTTATAGATCTTGTTACTTCCCAAAATTCTGACATTTTACAACCACTGGCTGCATATATCTTTCATGCATTGAAACTTAGGAACGAGATATATTATTTTATTTAAATATTCCGTAAAGTATTTTTAATTTTCGAATATTCTTCTTGTACGAGTAAATACTGTTATGGGCCGATGGTCTTGAATTTGTAAATAAAGACAGTTTAGATGTTTTTCATTCTCTATTGACCAAATATTGTCTCAGCGATTACATTTCTCCGATAGAGGTATTGTTAATTATATTTTTCATATAAAATGTCTGCATTGTCGACTTTTCAGTAAATCTGCACACTATTTGCTTGGGGAAGAATTGTCATGTACATGGTAAAACCTTTCATTTCGATATTTTTTTCTGCTGCCGCCCTATAGAATGCAACTCGCTACGCTAGATCACAACCCTCATTGCGGAAGACAGCAGGCACCGTAAAAACTGGTAAAAATAAAGGCAAACTAATATACGACATAGTATTTACAACAGTAAGGGAATCACCAGTTAATCTGGCCTGGGGGTGCCGGGCAATTCTAAGGGGGGGCCTTTCCGATTTCTGTATATGAAAAAGGGGGGCTAACAATTTTTCCAAGAGTGAAGGAGGGGGGGTTATAATTTTCTGGGTTTATTCACATATATTGTATAGACGAAGGCTGCTGTGATGAACATACTGCAATGAGAAAGAGTTATTGTTTGTTTGTTTTATTGCACAACAATAACTTAATCAAACTAGTATAAAACATGAAACTTCATTTGTAAACAACAGTATAAACCTCTGTAAATAGCATAAAAAA